AATAATCCGTTCAACCAAAGAACTAAGTGAGAAAATAAAAGATCCAAGCAGTTTTCTTGATTTTACTGGATAAAAAAAGATTGTGAATATAGAGGAATCACGGATACCTTCTTCAAGATCATCGATTCTTCGCTCCAAATAATGAATTTTACCCACATTCTTCTTGCTTTCTTCGTACAGTCGCTCCTTTTCAGCTTTCAAGCGAATAAGCATAGATGACTCGGCTGCCTAAATGTCGCAGTGAAAAGCGGAACCTTTTGAAGACTACTATATACTTAGATCCGTTGTAACTCGTAATCTAACATTCACCAACTATAAAACTGGCAACTTTTCCAGTTAGTTTGACCAGCAATCCATCGCTTGATGGTCAGGCTGCTAGCGATCTTGACCTCGTTTCCTTAGCAGGAGGAAAATACCAGCTCAATAGTTTCTGGCAAAGCTCCAGCCTTTCAAAATGCACTTGGTATGTGTTGAGCACCACTAACTTGTCTTCAAAATTACTATTCTCAGTGCACATTGGGTTACCGCCCGCCGGTTTTGCAATATAAACAGAATGAAAACATTGTGTCTGAAACTGAGTTAAAAGTTCATATGCCTAAAATCGAGTGTTTATTTAGTACCCCCATCAAATTATAGGAGAAGTATACAAACTTTAGCAACTTCAAGTATGCTGAAAAGACACTATGCCGCATTCATAGGTTGACCCAGGACGGTTTCCTGGAGGAAGACGAGGAGGGAGGGGGGAAGGGGTGACGATTTTTCACCTCCCCTTCTCCCTATGTCGCTGCACTTCCCGCCCCCTGCCTTCCCCCGCGCTCCCCCTCCCTCGCTCTTGCCGATGGATACTAAACTGATATTGTCAAGGCTACCGGGGAAGGGAGGGGGACGACAGGAGGTACCGAACAGACTTTTGTACAGTAAAACAATTGCTACCAAAGCCCTTCGGGAAGGGAGGGCGAACGGCCCCTGGCCTCTCCCCTGAATTCGCCAATGGCCGTTTTTTTTCCAGTTAAGCTTAAGTGGCATGAACTAACGTCAGACTGACCAGAGGATGGTTATGCAGTACAGGTCAAGAACTTATAAATGTAAAAAGCGTAATAGGGGCACAACAATATGCAATTTGCAGAAAAATATAATAATATTAATTTTAATTTTCAATTAGTTGAATGAAAAATCGAATTAATAAAAATTTATTAGCGATTTTTGTCAATAAAAAAAGAGTTTACTAGAAAAGAAAAATGAAATGCAGAAACGATAAACATTTTTACCTTTGACCGCTCTAGTTCATCAATACGATCCCTCAGG